TCCACAACCTCTCGGTCCACTTGTCTCCACCCCACTGGCCCATTGTACTTGTGTCTGAAGTTAGGTCTTGATACAGGGAGCGATCAGTGGGTGGAAATATGCATCCAAAGCAAAAAACAATGTCACATCTCCTAAGGATATTTGATGTGACTATGAGAGTTTGAAGATGCAAATCATTTTGCAGGATTTAGGAGCTTTTAGGATGTGAAAAATTAGAGGTAGGAACACAGGCATGATTCTGTTCTAATATACATGAATCTATCAGGTATAACCCCACTGAATTCACTGACCTTATACCACTGTAAATCTGGTGTACAGGAGATCTGAATTGGGCTATAAAGTACTTAAGATACTTTGTCTACTACATAAATAATTACTAATGATTTGCAAAACTGGTCCTCTGTTAGTTCATTTTTCTCTCAATCTCTGTTGTCTTTTACAGCCACAGCGAGGAAAGCAAGTCTTACATACTTTTCATTTCACTCATATGAATGATTCATGCCAGTAAATACTGCAACCACACCTTAGTGTTTGGAAAAGTAATTTCCATTCCACTGTCATTGCTTGAAGCTAGAGCATGCAATTGCAAAACATTTAGACTAAATCTTTAACTATTTCACTTAGTCCAGATATGTGAAGTTTTATAATATGGTATAAAATTACTTATCTCTTTCCCACACAGATACATATGACAAATAAAGCAAGCAAGTAAATACTGCATGTTTATTCATGTCTGGATTTGTTTTTCAACTTCTGAAATGTGCTTAGTTTTCCTTTCATAGCAGTAAGATGTGCATTATTATGTCTCTCAGATTAAAGCTGTGTGTGTATATAGCTTCTTGTAGTTCATTTGTTTTTTTATGAACCCATGGTTCTCAAGAGAGTGTCCAAAATCCACATAATTTTCCTGAGTGTTCGATTTTACTTTTGGATCCCAGATTTAGCTGACATACGTGAAAGATGAATGCAGGTAACCAAATGGCTCCCCAGTGTTCATACATGTGAAAATACAAAGGACTGTGAGTGATTTCAGTGAATGCTGACAGACTCATGCTTCAAAATGTTCCTTGGTTCAAATTTTATAAAATGTTCTCTTCTTTGTTGAACATAAGCATATATCTGTTTATCACTGTCTGAATTAATCCAAACACTACTATGCTTACATGTAAAGTTGGGGCGGCAGCCAGCCTTTGAGCACACAAAGCCTTTGATCAGCTTTACTGCAGACAGTCCAAATTGGCAGATGGTATCAGGACATCTCACCCCAGAGTGGAATCGTAGCAGATCAGGTTTGCTAAAGTCTAGTCCAGTTCTGTTGCTACTAAGGTCACTGGCAAAACTCCCAGTGGCTTTTGTTCAGATGATGGTCTGTGGGCAGATTTCTTTGGATCTACTTGCAATTTGTATGGCTATTTTACATTTGAAGATAATATTAGTTTACCCATTAGGGATGGGATGGAGCACTTGTAAAGACAGAGGTGCTGAAGTAGTGTGTATACACACACACACACACACACACACACATACATACATATACATACATATATGTATAAAATACATGCATATATATACATACATGCATATATACATATATATATACACATACATGCACATACATATATACATGCATACACACATATATATACACATACATACATACATACACACATGTATATATAAATACATACATACATATATATAAAATTCAGTTTATTTGGGTCTGGGTTTATGCAGCTCTTAGTCATGTGAGTACTTATCCATGTGAGCCACATATGTACCAAGAGAGTTTCATTAAGTCAAATTCTTCAGTCAGGAAGCTGTATTAAGTTTATAGTACTGTCCTGCTGCTTCCTTGTTATTGTAAGCTTGCATTGTTGACTACTACATTGTTGTATGTTGTGGGGCAAACCAATAACAGTACGTTTATAAGAGAATTTAGGAGAACTCCTCCCAGAGCTTGTCTACATAGGTCCTGTTTTATACATTGGCATTGCTCCACTGCCCGTAAAGAAACCGTGCTGGTTTAAAACTATTATTTTGTATTAATCTGTTTTTCAAGTGCTTTATTTAAAATTTGCAAAAGTACCTAAGTGAGTTAGGAAGTGGGAGTCTCCCACCAGAAATGAGACTGAGATCCCCTCATCATGTAGGTACTTTTGACATGTTCACCTTTTCTTGCATTCTGGGGGTTTTCTGCACAAATTGTAATAATTCTGAGATCTAGTTTTGACCAGAGATATTATCAGTCCTTCTTATAATTTCCATTTTTCATGTGATTTTTAAGGATTTAAAGAGGAAAAAATTAAATTAAATAAAAACAACAACAACCCTCATATCCAAACTCAGTTTTAAGGTTAATTATTTCTCCTACTTCATTTTTACTTTCCCCTCTGTATAGTGACATCTACTGGGCAAATATAATTCCTGTATGTCTTCCAGTGCCTGTTAATCTTAGTGCTGTCTGCCAGTTGCCTAGAGTTTAAACATCTGGCTCTTGAAAGAGCAGCAGTTTTACCATGAACATCAAAGCGTGTCTTACGACTGCTAAGTAGAGCACTGTTGTTCCGAGTTTAGTCTTTGGCATTATAATATGCCTTTAGTTGAGAAACATTTCTGTTTGTGGGCTCTGAACTTTCAGATGCCTTTGCCTATAAGACTGTGGACCACACTCCTTTGAGACAGGTAGGTTCAAACCAGAGCATTTATTTATTTATCAATGGAAAGAGAGCAAGACATCTGACTGTACAGGGTTACAGAAAATACATACTTCACAGCGCAAAAGAAACGGTAATAAGGAGTCATAGCACTCATAAATCCAGCAGGATTGTTTTGTAATTCAAAGGTAGCTCAGATCATTGGCATGCTGTGGAAACTCAGCTTGGCTGCACTTACAGTGTGAGTGTATGAGACGCGTCACAGAGATCAGCCATGGAATTGTACTTCAGAGGGGAAAAAACTCTTTCCCTTAAAAGGATTTAATCAGTTTTTCCATTTAAAAGTGCGGTGCAGTTGGATATTTATGGCCAAACTGGGCCTGTCTGCTTTCCAAGTGCTGCACAACATCCTCTCAGCCCACCCTTCAAGACGCTGCCTTCTCTTCCAGGCTGCTAAGCAAACAGCTGAAGAGCTGGCATCTCTGCGTGGAGCAAACCAGTCCTGGCGTCCGTCACCTGATTTCACCCTTCATCTCTCTGCCTTTTTACTCCTGTTCCTGTGCCTGCCTTTACTTCTCGCTCTCCCCGTATCTTCCCTTCTGCATTTCATTCTCACTCTCTTCCTTATGGGTGTGGCGCATACATTATTTATGAGATACAGCCCCTATTTGCTCAGCCTAATGATGTATTCAAGCCTGGAGTTCAGCTGCCTCTCGAAGGCGGCTGCTGGGAGGGCAGGAGGACCAGAATGAGTGGTGGCTGTAATTGGAAACCAAAGCTTTCCCGGTCAGAGCTCAGCTACTTTCCATTCACTCTTAGGTGCTTAATTGAGGAATAGGGAGAAGAGTTCCTGGTGCCTTAGGACTATAGCAATAAGGATTATTGTACAGAGAAACTGGGAGTACATTTGCAACCAGCAGGAGGAAAGAGTCTTTTCCTGCCCCCCAAAAATGAACCAGGTTTGGAATTAAAGTGCTCTGGTAAAAGGAGTGGAGTCCATAAACTGATAGAAAACAGATAGCTATCAGTAGCTGGGTAAGCATAACTGAAGTTTGCTTTTAGCAATGTAATAGATGTGAAATGTGATTGATTCTTGGAGATAATTAATATATGGGGTTTTTCACATTAGCATAATTTTTTTTAGTTTTCTTCTTTGTTTTCTTCCAGTGAATAATTTTAATTGCAGAGAATACTGTGGGAATTCAGACTTTAACATATGACACCTGCACAGCACTTTACAGCGAGGCCAGAACATGTTTTTTTCTAACAGTGTAGCATGTTTAAAGGGAAAGTCCATGTGAATGCAACTTTAACTCTTAGCTCTACAGTTTTCTTTGCTTTATTTTAATTTTTTTTTCCATATTGGCAGAATTGGAAGAACAGTGAGAAATGAAACTTAGTCATTGCATTTATGGTGTCAGTGCCTAACTAATGTACTTTTAAGATTATAGTGCTGTTGGTTGCCAGTACAGATCATGTGTACAGGACACATTGATTTTAGTGACTTTCTGGAGATGAATACAGAACTGGGATAGAGGTCCAGACTAAGATCCTAAACCAAAACAAGTTTGGGTTTAATTGCCAGTGCACTGCAAGGTATGTAAAGCTTTCACATCCAAACAGTTTTCATTCTCTAATTCATGTCAGTGAAAGCTGTGATAACAAAGCCCTTAGATACCTTTATGGCAACTCTGTACCCATATTATTTGTGTATCTAACAACAGGGCAGGGAACATGCTGCTTATATTTAGGATCTTATATTGCCTGTCACCGTGTTGCAAGAGTGAAAAGCTGCAATTCAAGCAGTGAAGTGTTTCACTCAGATTTCACTCAGAAAATTGATTTAATTAGAATTTCCAGGAGGAAGAGGAGGAGGAGGGGAAAGTGTTAACAAAAACTTGTTTCACTATTTTTTCCAGTTTTATTTAGTAGAACAGGCACAATCCAACAGTTTCCCGTGCTTCACTTTCTATCTGTATGGCAAAGAAGGCATAATACTACTGCTGTAATCCCATTGCATCTGTTAAAATCACATGCTCTGTGTGATTGGCCATTTGTTTTAGCCTGAGAAAGCAATCTTATCAGGATTTAATGGCATTTCACTCTTTGAAGAAGGTTAAGTAAAAGGATACTTCATGGGCTAGTGGGAGGGTTTGAAATTTAAAATCCTCACAGTGGTGTTAATATTGGATTCAGCTTGCTTCAAATTATTGGCAAAGGCTTTACAACAAGTATGTTATTAGCTATCAAACTCTTAAAAACAAACTGGAACTGTTCCCGAATGGGTAGTTACCTTTTGCAGTTCAGATCTGTATTTGGGACTTCCTGGCACTAGTGATCATTGCCAGTTAATGAAGAAACACTGTGTTACCTGATCTCCATGTGTTTCTCTACACTACAGATCAGACGGAAAAGGTTTAGATTTCCAACACAATCAGACTGTTGCTGAAGCTGTCTTTCCCTCCTTCCAGCCCTTGATTTAGTGCATAATTCTAATGCAGATTGTAGCTCTTTTCAAATGATTTACAGTAAGTGGATATTGGATGACTGAGAGGCTTAGTAATAAGACACTGCACTTTCTACCTCTAAGTCAATAGTGTGAATCCTGCCCAAATTGGTCCTGACCTAATCATCAATAGCTGACAGCTGCTCACTGCCTTATATGATATGATTTGGTGGTCAGAGCCAGGTTTTTTTAGGACAAGTGTTGGTCTTAGGATTCAGAGATGCTAGGGTTGGATGGACACTAGGAACTGAATAAACACAGATTCTGAAATACTGTCTTCAATATTTCAGGGCTCTTGGCAGTGGCCTTTGTGGAGCACAGTGTGCAGGCCAAGTCTAGATAGTATCAGTACTCAGGTTAAGCAAAAGCCTAATGTTACCATTCTGAGTGAATTTCCCTACACAAAGGATCATATATTGAAAAGTGCTGAGTGCCCTTAACTCTGATTGAATCAAATACATTTTACCTTCCAGAACCACTGAGCCCTAGATATTACACTTGTATAAGAAAGCATATCCAGAATGGAGGAACAAGGATAAGAGCTGAGAATTAGAATATGTAGGAATTATTTCTAGCAAGGTCGCTAACTAGGAAACTGATTTCCTGCTACATTATACCAGTTTTTAAACTAATGTAAACCCATTGATACTGACAGAGTTAAACTGGTGAAAATAAATGTTCAGGCTGTTGGTGGCATCTTGGGATGGCCATTCACACCTCTTATCCTCCATTTCTGAAGCTTCAGACTTGGCTACTTATACTCACCTGCTTTTGTGCAGCTATATTAGCCTATGAGAAGCAGTTTGAGATATTCAAATAAGAAATCTTATCAAGGTGCTAAATGGCAATTTAGCTCTGAATGACATTTTGTTTTATGTGTTTGATCCAAAATGCATTGAAGTCAAGGGAAAAGCTCCTGTTGACTCCAACAGATTGAGTCTTGAATGAGTTACACTGCCATTAGAAAATAAGACAAGTTGTAGTACTTCCAGCATCTTATTCTCCCTCCCTCCTTGCACCATGCATGGTGATTAGGATGCTGACCCTAATTTAAGACCTATACTCTGTGGTGTGAAAGATTTTCATTGCCATTGTGAGATACAGGACACTGGGCTGGGTCAACTTGTGGTCAGACCCAGTTTGGCACATACATATGTGCTTTTTTATATGTTCTTAATACTCTTTTTTATGGATAGGCTAACCATAAAGGGGAGTATTGGCATGAACAAATTTCATTCACCTGAACTGTCTAAAAGGAATGATATAATGAAGTGACCATGGTGTTTATGTATCAAGTATTCTTACAATATGAAAATTTGGGAAGCCAGCTAAAGTCCCTATCCTAAGCAGAAAATGAGGGATGCTAAGTATAAAGAGTAAAATGCTGATATTCTGCCTGTGTTTTGCAGTAAGCTGGCCTATTAATGCCAGCATTTCAACCTATTTTTTGTAATTTATTTTACACTGGATAAAGCTTGAATAAAAAGGGAGTTGAGGGCTATTAGGAATCTGCCTTAAGTTTAAAAAATAGTATACTAACTATGAAGTACAGTAGGGAGAGAGATCTAAAAATATCAGCCAGTTTTTGTTCATGGAACACTATCTCCTGTCGTTGCTTTGCTCTGCCTTGACATTTAGCCTAACTATTTTTCCAGCAGGTGGAATTGCCCTTTAAAAAAAATAATAAAAAGGTCTAAATCCTGTAGTTTGACTGAGCCAAAAACTGTATATTGGTTCCACCTAACAGGCTTATTGCTCTTTTAGTGCCAGCAAAGAACATAGCCAAACAAAATGTTTTCAGATGTATAAAGCAAAAGCAGAAGAGCAGTGTCTCCTTCCCTGTGTCATACATTACAGCTTTGGTCTGGCAAAGCTCTGGGACACCTGCTGCTCTGAACGGTTCTTTTTGTCTCCGGCAGTTTATACGAGGTAAAGTCAGTAACGGGCTCTTTTTTCCTTGTAGGTTTCATTTCTTGGATATTAACTTGCAAATCGGAAGAGATGGCATTTCTAGCCCTCCACGTGGTGCTTGGGATGTTTATTTACTCTAGCAGCGTGAAAGGATCAGCACTGCCTCAGGCCAGGGTGTTCTTAACATTCAACGGTAAGACAGGCGATAAACGTCCCTACCGCAAATGTTAGTGTACAACATTCAGCTCAATAGCTGAGCAATAAATAAGGAGCAGGCTTCTTGATGAGTGTCCACAATTATTGGTACCTATTCATATTGCTACCATACTTGGGCACTCAAGGTGAACGTCTGTACAGAGGCTAGAGCCCCGGTAATTGCAATCACATGCACAGGGGGAGCTCTTTAATTTTGCATTTAATGTTGAGCTTACAGATTAGCAAGACTGAAGGCTTGTATTTCTTCTCCTGTGTTTTTCGTTTGTTTGTTTTGGAAAGGGTATTACTACAATGTATATTTGAATGTATGATTATGTGGTCAATGATAGCAAGAAGTTTGCATTCGGAGTTGTCTCTGTCTGTTGTCTAAATTAGGCACCCTCCCCCTGAAAAATCAGGCCCCTTGAATGTACTTTGGGTATCAAGAATCATCCATTGTTTTGCACAGTTGCTTGTTATGTGTTTCACATCATCTAGTGATTGCATATGTGAATTTTAAATGATCATTGCATCAAATTATTGGTATCCATCTACTGTAGACAATAAAAATGCTTGCTTTCAAAATCCTGATGTGGTTCACCTCTAAAACTTCTTTTTCTTAAAAGCCTGTGCAGTGTTTCTTTAATAGCAATGCAATTGCTTTAAAATCCTCCACTTAATTGTGGTACAGGGCCTCCTTGCATGTCAGCTGTTAGTGTTTCATTTAGTGACTCTATGTTATTTTAATGATTTTTCCCTCCTTCGTATTTGCATGAGAATTCCTTGAGGTTTTGACAAACTCTGCTGAAATAAAAAGAATCTAGGGAAGGAAAATATGCTTTTGATTGATGTTTTCTATATATGCAATTTCCAGGGGATGTATGGAAATTTGTGAGCTTACAAATTTCAGGAAATTTAGAAGAATTCAAGCCTCAGCTCAAATTATTTTGCCAAACTTAGCTTGTGCTGCTCACAGTCCAAACCATGTGCGAAGTGTAACTGAATCATCTAGTTCATAATAAAGAACATAAGAGGAATAAATGGGAAAGGGCCGCTTACCTAGTCAAAGCCTATTTATATTTTTATAACTGACTCCATTTACTTTATTATTGTTTCAGTCATCCAAATGTCTGGAAAACTTGCAATCCTTTATTATTCTTCCCCTAAAATTCTGCTTCCAGCTGCTTCTGCAGAATATGTGTGTCTTCTCAGCTTATCTTCCATACTAATTAAATTAGTAGCTGATTGTCACTTCATATGCAGTATACTCAAAGCCTGCAGCCTTCTACCAACCCAGATGGGCTTTGGTCTGTCTTTGTAACACCTGAGCTAGATCCTAGGCCTAATTAGGACAATTTTGCACTCCTTCCCTGCAGCAAGGCTGCTATGTATCCACCACTTGAATTTTGCCCTCATGCAGGGCAAGCCTTGGAACTGCCAGTTTAGTGGCTATTGTTATGATTACTGGTATTATTATTATTGATATTAATAATTATACTTATTCTAGTAGGCCAAAATTAAACTCCCCTTAGGATAGTTAAACAGCATTTGTTTGATTAGAGTTAGTTAAGTAAGTAGCCTTCAAGGGATCTGTTCCAGGCACCTTCCCGGCCTCCTGGTTCTGCCCCCTGTTTCCCCAACAGAATAGAAACCCTGCTCCACTGCCTTTTTGCATTGTTATCTTAACTAAAACACATAATGCAGAAGCAGCACCGAGAGGCAGGACCCAAGGCACAGTTCCTTTCAGGGCAGTGCCCACCTCACTGAGCTTCCAGCCATGTGTCTTCTCCTCCTGGCTCCCACCGGGCCAGTTTCAGCAGGAAGGGTAAAAGTTGCTTTTGGCCCTGTCCAGCCCATGGCCTGGTCATTACAGCATGTTGTTAGGAAATAGGAAGTACAGAGTCAAGCGCCCTCTGAGTGACGGGGAACTTAAAACCTTGGTCTCCTATTACCTGAGCATGTTTCCCAACCACTAATTTATAGGGCTAACAAGTGGGAGGACCTGCCTTCATTTTTCTGACTTTCATGGAATCACAAAACTTCCTAAAATGCCACCACTCTAGCCACATAAATGCTAATTACTTGCCAAAAAGTGGAGTGTATAAGGTCCAGCCAAGAATAACTGTTTTGCTGGGATCTGTACAAATGTATGATAGCTTCTTTGATGATTTTGCGACCAAATAGATAAAATACGTATACAGAAGGGGTAAACATAAAAAAAAAAAAGAAAAAAGCTGTGATGTAAATATTATGTTAGCTCCACCCGTACTCTGCATTTTTGGGGAAGAGGGTTTGTGTGTCATTAAATAAGCTAAATAGAAATGGGTAGACAAGGGAGCCGGTAGGAATGGATGGGGGAGGAGGGAGTAAGAGGAGTGAGTGTAGAGTGAAGATGTGACGAAAAGATTTGGGAAGAAAGAGGATTGAATGAAATAGCAGTAAGCAGAGGGCAGAGAAAGTCCAGTCAGTATAATAGAAAGTCCTGAGTGACTATAGGTGATAACTTTAACTGCTCCTCATCTGACTGGAATCTCTGGGGTGCCTCTCTCTGCCATCTTTGCTCAAGAGGCACCATCTGGGTCCTAATTTTTCCATAAGGTGTACAGGAGAAATCCCCATATGTCATTCTATCCACTGACCACTATGGCAGGAGGAAAGTAGCATGACGCTGCCTCTAGCAATAACATGTCAAGCTTCTGGAACATTTATTTGGGGCTCTATGAAGCTAGCACAAATTGAAGCAACTTCTAGCTGATTTTAAGCTGCTCCCTGGCAGTAGCCCAGTGATCTCATATCCAGTTACTTGGCTGGAGTATGGACTTTAAATTACCTTTAACTTCCTCCCTCGTATAGGCAGGGCAACTTGCACAGAAAGCAGACCAAAGGATCTAGCCATGTGGTCCTAATCTTCCTTTCAGTCCTCCAGGGAAGGTGGAGGAGCTCCACTGGGATTTTCCATCTCATTTACTGCCTTTTCCCTTATATACCGTGTCCCAAAAGATTCCAGAAAAACATGTGGGCCTGTGGTAGGTATATTGATTGCCTCTTTTATGTCTCTAACTGCCTACTTCTGGTTTGCAAATATTCTATAACATTTCCAAAGAGATAAATCATGCACTTAATGAGCAGCAGATTAGATGACTTAATTGGTAGTTTCCAGCACTACTTTATATGATTCAGAGATCTTACCATGGAGATTATAGTATATCAATGAAAGTATTAGTGAAATAAACCTTTACAAGGGGGGATGTTTATCCTGTATTGTGGGTTGTGTGGTAGGCACTTGACACAACAGGCTGAATCCTGAAGCCACAAGAATAGGTGTATATTGGCGTAGCTTCACTGAAGTAAAGGTAACTCTTGTTTTGCCATGTATAGGTGGCCACATGAAGAGATGAAGATCTTTAAGCTAGGAATTTATTTTCCTGGATAATGAGTTGAACTCCTCTTACTGCCAAAGCATAGGAAACATCATCCGAAGCCCAATGTGGACAGAGCTGGTTTTTCAAAACAGATTTCACCCTTTTAATATTAAGAAGAACAGAGAACAAACCTGGCTGTCCCTAATTACTGGGAACAGAGACTATGGATTTCTTAGTTTAAACAGATGGTCTCTTTTGAAGGATCCAACTTTCCAGTGTATTGGACAGGAGATGAAAGAATGGTCTTAGTGTTAGCCTGAGCTTCAGTAGACCTTATTTCACCACCACCACCAACCTTGAGTAATCATTTAGTTTCTTTCCAACCCTGACGCCACATCTATGAAGTGAGAATAGTAGTGTTTCAACTAATAGTACTTCACAGTGCAGTGTGTGTATACACATTAAGAAATTATGAAGTGCTTAATTAGTATGGTATCCTGGGCCACATAAGTAAATAAGTACATGGGTCACAACCGCAACCATAGTTTTGGCTAGCACTGCTTTACTACTTTCACGGCTGGTACATAAAACATTTTTTGGTGAAGTTCCTACCCACAAGGAACTCTGCCACCAGTTAAGCCAGGATACAATACTGGTGAATTTAATGTAAATTTTAGGTTTAGTTAATATAGTTTAAATTTATTTTTTTTTAGGATTAGATTTGACCAGTCAGTCACACAGTCAGTTCTGTCTCCCAGAGGAGTCGCACCAGTTGCAAGGTGCAATTCAATACAAGTAATAGTGGTAGTCTCTGGCTCTCAATATAACAAAGAGGAAACCTTGGTGCCGCCTCAGGCTTGCAATGTTGCAATTATGTTAAAATGGACTGAGTTCCAACTAATTTCATTTTTGCACTTCATACATGAATGCAGCTATTAGTCATATTGACAGATTTTTGCTGAATACAATCTGAGTTTTGCATGTCAAAATGTCCAGCTCAAGCAATTTTTTGGCTGTTTTTCAATAAAGTATGCATATTCAGTTCCTTGCTTTTAACAAGTGTTTGCAAGTCCCTGAAGCAAACAATTAATATGTATTTTATAGTATGTCCATGTCCAGTGTTGTATGAAATGTGAAGGGGTGAGCTTTTTGCATAAAATGGAAATAGTACACATTTTTTCCTTAGTTTGATTTCCAGATGCTAAAAAGTGTTTTTTGAATGTGAAAGGGACTTCATAGCTTGCTGTATACAATAGGATAACTGCCCCACCTACAGTACAAAATTATTTTGTGGAAAATTTTACATTCTACTATGCGTACTCTTCTGTTAAAAGAAGGTGCAACTTTATACCATTCTTTTTTCAAGGTGATAATAGAGCCTTTCAGCATTCATTAACTTCTGTGTTTGCTGCCTTAAATTTACATGAAAATATTAAATTATTGGCTGCCTATAGCATGACATGTGCAAGTGCACAGGGAGAGCAAACAGGGAAGTTTGCAAGCAATTTGCAAGTCAGTCTGCAAGTCAGTTTGCTGCCTCTGCTTTGACAGGGAGCCTTTAAGGTAAGTTCTTTAATTAAGTGTAACTAACCTAGATGTTCAGCATAAGTAGCTAAACCTAGGGAGTTAGATGAAT